ATAGTTTGATCTGTAATAAGCTGTAATTTGCAACTAGCTCCTTTATACATACACTGTAGAACTCTTAGATACCTGTTCACACAATCAAGTAATTCGGTTTAAGCAAAACCTACCAAAGCAATGTCTTGACATAAAGTGGGTAGTGCTTATATGGAAACATCAAATGTTTTGGGCTTAAAGTACTTAAACATGAATTTATTTATTTTTTTTAATGGCTACTGCTTAGAAGGTTTTTTATGTTTTTTAGGGTCTCCTTTTTAGGGCTAATCAATTTTTTTTTTTTTTTCGCAGTTTTTGGCCAGGGCTGGGTTTGAACCCGCCACCTGCGGCATATGGGGCTAGCGCCGTACTCCTTTGAGCTACAGGCGCCACACCCATTTCCCCTTTTTGAAATAGTTCCATTAAAGCATTTAGCTTAGAAAACATGTTAGCTATTTATGTGGTTGTATACCATTACTCATACTAAGTCAGTAGGAGAGGCTGAAATTAGTGAAAAACCTGAGTTAGGGCCTGGTGCAATGGTGAGTAATCTTAGCATTCTGGGAGGCCGAGGTAGGTGGATTGCTGGAGCTCAGGGGTTTTGAGACCAGCCTGAGCAAGAGTGAGACCCTATCTCTACTAAAAATAGAAAAAAACTAGCCAGGCATGGTGGTGCATGCCTGTAGTTCCAACTTCTCAAGAGATTGAGGCAAAAGGATTGCTTGAACCCAGGAATTTGAAGTTGCTGTGAGCTACAATGATACCATGACACTCTACCCTGGGAGACAGAGTGAGACTCAGTCTCCAAAATAAGTAACACAAAAAAACTGTTATCTAAGGATGTTTTTCCTTTAACTTTTCTTTGTCTCACCTTGCATGTCTTTTCACAAAGAAAGAGATACTCAGGAAATGGGATGACTCAAATGTCTACAGCTCTTTCTGTTACCACTCAAACTACCCTATTTAAATTTGTAGCAGCTGCCACTCCCAAGCTTTAGTTCTTGCCTCTCCTAGCACATACACACGTTAGTTTGAAATCAAGTCTTTGTGGAGCCAAATGTAGATCCTCCAAATTACAGAGACAACAGTTTCTGTGACTTTTTAAATACGTGGCATGCTGTACAGCTAGATGGTAACCAGAGTGCTGCCTATACATTCTGAGTCTGAAAGGAGTATGGAAGGATCAAAATCTAGAGCTCTACTGGGCCTTGTAGGAGTTTTCTGATACAGCCCAGCATCCCAATTCCCTTTCGTTTTGATGAACTTAGGTTACGCATACAATAGAACTTCTGTAAGCTGACTTCCCAAGGTAACAAACTGGTCAGTATATGGAGATGGTCAGCATAGGAACTAGGGCTACTATACTGGTAAGTACATGTGGTACATAACAGTTTATCAAAGTGAGGTCAGCTTGAGGTGGTCTGGATAGGGACATGGTCAGTATGGAGGTTCTTATATATTAATATGTTGTACACCTCTTGTGATGGAAAGAGAAGTAGCTAGGTTCTAAAATGAAGATAAAAAAGAGCTTTTGTGGCTTGGCACCTGTTGCACAGTGGTTATGGTGCTGGCCACACGCACTGAGGGTGGTGGGTTCAAACCTGGCCCAGGCCAGCTAAACAATAATGACAACTGAAACTAAAAAATAGCCGGGTGTTGTGGCAGGCGCCTATAGTCCCAGCTACTCTGGAAGCTGAGACAAGAGAATTGATTAAGCCCAAGAGTTTGAAGTTTCTGTGAGCTGTAATGCCATGGCACTATGTTGAGGGTGACACAGTGAGACTTTGTCTCAAAAAAAAAGAAATAGGTGGGAACATATACCAAGCTCAATCATTAGAAGATTCAGTTATAAAGATGTTAATATTTGAGCTGGCACGGCAGCTCACCCCTGTAATCCTAGCAAAAACAACTTTGGAGGCTGAGGTGGGAGGATGACTTAAGCTCAAGAGTTTAATGCCCTGTCCAGTCTGAGTGACAGTGAGATCCAGCTTCTTTTTTTTTCTAGAGACAGAGTCTCACTTTATCACTCTTGGTAGAGTGCTATGGCGTCACAGCAACTTCCAGCTCTTGGCTTAGTCAATTCTCTTGCTTCAGCCTCCCGAGTGGCTGGGGCTGGGTTCAAACC